CACCAACATGGCACAAGTATACATATGTAACAAACCTGCACGTTATGCACATGTATCCTAGAACTTAAAGTATAATAATAATAATAAATAAATAAATTTTAAAAAAAAAGAAATTTCTTTACAGTCAAATTTATACACAAAACCCAACTGCATGTATAATAAACCATTAACTATAAAAATCATAATTTAAAAATATTCTTTTAGCAACAAAATTACGGAGTAACTAGTAATAAATCTATGAAAGGATATACTATGTATGGAAAAAATTATACAACCCTGGAGGACACTTTGAAGATGAAAATCTTTGAGAGGAAGACCTGCTTTATAAATATGTCAAATTTTCTGCAAATCTATAGATTTAATATACTTTCAAAGCAACTTTCAGCAGGTTTTCAGGCCTGTGGTAAAATACAAATAACAAAACATTTACCATTTTAACTTTATTTACTTTTTTTTTTTGAGATGAAGTTTTGCTCTTGTTGCCCAGCCTGGAGTGCAATGGTGCGATCTCGGCTGACTGTGACCTCCACCTTCTGGGTTCAAGCAATTCTCCTGCCTTAATCTCCCAAGTAGCTGGGAGTACAGGCATGCACCACCACGCCTGGCTAATTTTATGTTTTTAGAAGAGACGGGGTTTCAGCATGTTGCCCAGGCTGGTCTCAAACTCCTGACCTCAGGTGATCCACCTGTCTCAGCCTCCCAAAGTGCTGAGATTACATGCATGAGCCACTGCACCTGGCCCATTTTATCTACTTTAAAGTGTACAGCTCAGTGGTATTAAGTACATTCACACTGTTGTACAACCATTACCACTATTCATCTCCACAACGTTTTCATCTTCCCAAACTGAAACTCTGTACCTATGAAACAATAACTGCCCATTCTCTCCTGTTCTTAGCCCCTGGGAACCAATATTCTACTTTCTATCTCCACAAATTTGACTACTCTAGGTATGTCATGTAAGTACAATCCTACAATATTCATCCTGTGTTTTATTTCTAAGAAACTTGACAAACTGATTATAAAACTTACATGAAATAGCCAAAGATCCTGAACAGCCAACACAATTCTGAATTACATTTCTGATATAATAATATAATACTATAGTAATATTTTATTATAACACCAGAGTAATTACAACAGTGTATTGTTGGATCAAAAATATACAAAGAGACTAGGAACAAAATAGCCCAAAAACAAACTCCCAAATAGACGGAGATTTAATAAATGCCGAAGAGACCTTGCAGGTTACTAAGAAAGAATGTCCAATTCAGTAAATGTTGCTGGAACAACTGACTGTCCCTGAAGGAGAAAAGTAAAATTAGATCCCTTCCTCAAACCATACATAAGAATGTGTATGGATTCAATAATTAAATGTAAAAAGTGAAACTTTCAAACTTTTAAAGATATAGATTTCATGACTTCAGAATAGATGATGCAGAAAGTGTTGGATAAAAAGAAAAGACTGGTAAGTTCAACTGTAATTAATGAATTTATCTCAATCAAAAGATACCATAAAGAAAACATAAGACAAGCCACAAACATAGAAAAGATAATTATAGCATTTATAACAACAAAGGATAAAGAGCCCTTAAAAATCAATAAGAACAAGACACACACACACATACACACACACACACATACACACACACACTAAAAATAGGCAAAAAAACATGAACAGGCATTTCACATAGGAACAAATACAAATGGCAAACAGACATGTGAAATCATGCTCATCCTTAACAGTAATCGTAAAAATTCAGTTTAAAGTCAGGGTGAGAGATCATTTCTTATATTGTATTGACAAAAATTAAGAAGTCTGATAGTACCAAGTGTTGGTGAGAACACAATAAGGCCCCACAAGATACATGCTGCTAATGGGGGTGTAAATTTAAACAACCACCTTGAAAAATAATTTGTCACTATCTAGTAAAGTTGAACATTACTCCATAACACAGCAATTCCATTCCTAGATAATATATATCATAAGGGAATGTTTTTCAAACAACAGATTGCATATAACTAATAGGTCATAAAATCCGTTTAAGGGTTGGGGTATTTTTTTTTTCTTTTTGAGACAGAGTCTCGCCCTGTCATCCAGGCTGGAGTGCACTGGCGCATCTCAGCTCACTGCAAGCTCTGCCTCCTGGGTTCACGCCATCCTCCTGCCTCAGTCTCCCGAGTAGCTGGAACTACAGGCGCCCACCACCACGCCCGGCTAATTTTTTTGTAGAGACGGGGTTTCACTGTGTTAGCCAGGATGGTCTCCATCTCCTGACCTTGTGATCCACCTGCCTCAGCCTCCCAAAGTGCCTCACAGGCATGAGCCACTGCACCCGGCCTTTTTTATTTTTATTTTTATTTTATTTTATTTTTTTTAGGCAAGGTCTCACTCTGTTGCCCAGGCTGGAGTACAGTGGCATGATCTCGGCTCACTTCAACCTCTGCCTCCCAGGCTCAAGTGATCCTCCTGCCTCAGCCTCCTGAGCAGCTGGGACCACAGTCATGTGCCACCATGCCTTGCTAATTTTTGTATTAATTTTGTAGAGACAGGGGGTCTCACTATATTGCCCAGGCTGGTCTCGAACTCCTGGGCTTGAGCAGTCCTTCTGTCCTGGCCTCCCAAAGTGCTAGGATCACAGGCATGAGTCACCATGTCTGGCTGAAATCAATATTCTTCTAAGATCAGTTTTCTTTAAAAATAAAATGTAAAAATATCAGAGAGCATCATTAGTAATAAATAGGGAGGTAGCCACTGCTCCATGAACTGTTTGCTTCAGTTGCTTCTGAAATGGAGGTCCTATGGATATATGGGTGTCCATGGTGATTTAAAGTGTATTTCTTACTCTAAGTAATGTTAACTATGTTTGAAAGCCCTATAAAAACTCTGGTGCACATCCCCCAGAAAACATGTACAGGGTTTTTCATAACAGCATCATGCAAAATACCAAAAAACCATACATGACCCAAATGTCCAAGATACCAGAGATTAGAATGGACAAGTACAGTGTGGCATACACACAGGATGGAAAATTACAGAATATTGTGAAGAGGAGTTCTGCAGCTATACATAACGATGTGAATGATTCAGAGAAACAAAATACTGAGTGAAAACAAAGTTACAAAATACTATATATATTGTTTTATTTATAAAGCTAACGGACAATACTGAAAGATCAATACAAACAACCAAAAGCACGGATGTTGAAGCCAGACTGTCTGGGTTCAAATCTCATCTCTGCCACTCACTAGCCATGTAATCTTGAGCAAGGTACTTAACCTCTGTGCCTCAGTTTCCTCATCCGTGAAATGGAAATAAGAACTTACCATTTGGAAATGGTAAGCAAGGGACTTAACCTCTGTGTCTCGGTTTCTTCATCTGTGAAATGGAAATAAGAACTTACCATTTGGAAACTTGCCAAATGGAAATAAAAACTCATAGGGTTTTTAGGATTAAATCCTGTAGACTGCTTGGAACAGTGAACATGAAATAAAAAAGGAACTCAAGGAGAAAGAACAGAATGAGCAATGTTTTAGTTTTTAAGTTGGTAGTGAGTGTACAAGCATTAATTTCACATATTCACAGATTTCTTGCGTATAGCAAACACTAAAAATCTCAAGTGAGAGTCAGTTATGCCAAGGCTCTATTAATGCAGGCTTCATGATAAGCCACTGAAGACAGATGATGACGATGGTCTCAGTAATACGTACCTTGTTCTCAGCTTGTCCCCCACAGATTCAGCCCAGTTTTGGAGCAGACCAAAGAGTGGTTTTTCTTCATACTGTTTGGTGTATTGGGCCAGCAGTTCCTGCCCCACAACCTGCGCAGAGAGTTTATCACTCATCAGTCTCAGCAGTGTAAAAAACGACAGTATCTTTAATACTGCAACCCAATAAGATCTATTTGTCACTTAGCAAACTCCTTGGAAGGAATCAAATACAAGACCTGATTCTTAAAATGGCCTCTACTTTCCCAAGGCCAATGTGGGGCATTTATCACACCATCCCCCATCCTCCCCTGTGGCTGACTTCACTAACTGCTTACTGCTTGCTCTCTCTTCTTGCCTGTATCAGTCTCTAACACTGGTCCTGGGACCAACTGTTTTAGCTGACACTTTGGTAAAACCCACTTGTCTTCCGTGGACCAGATGGCTGGTCCATTCTCTTTTTCACCCCTGACATTCTCTGGTCAGTTAGACCTTTGGGGAATAGTATTGAAATGCACAAATAAAACAATGTCTACCCTCTATCAATCTTCTACTGCAGCAGCTTTAAAGTTATAATTGGGGCCTAAAATACTGCATGCTCTTCTGTGGTGGTTCAAAGAAGATGTCCATGGCTAGCCCGCTGCAGAAACTCAGCTGATGGTCAGCAACAACCACTAGACATGTGAATGAGGCCACCTTGGACCAGCATGCTCCCACTCAGCCCCGACATGCTGCTGCCACAGCATGAGTGAGCCCAGGGAAGACCAGCAGGACAGCAGAAAAACCACATCGTGTGAGCTTAGCCCAAACTGTTGACCTACAGAATCATGAGCTAACACATTGGTGTCTCAAAGCACTACATTTTGGGGTGGTTTGTTACAAATCAATACATAGCTGATTCATTCTCTTTCAATTATCAATTTCACAATATTTCTTCTTTTCTTTATATGCATGCATGTTTTTATATAGATTATATAAAATGTTATGCATGCTTTCAATCAACAGTATATCACAAATGACATTTTTGGTTTGCACTGTTGTGTAGAATTCTATTTATTTACTGACCATATCATTTTGTTTTGATAAATCATAGCTAACTAAACATTTCCATTTGGTTGGATACTTAGGTTGTTTCAGTTTTATGCTGTCATAATAACCTTGATAGCAATATAAGCCGACAAATAGCATAGTCATATTTTGTATTATTACCTGTGAATAATTCCCCATGAACTTGATTGATACAGAGGTTCTTTTTTTTTTTTTTTAAGAAACTGTTGTTTATTTTCCATCAACCATTTTTCCATGTTGCTTAAGAGCCCGTGCAAGAACCGCTTAAGACCATTCAGTGGTTGCTCGTACCCATTCAGTGGCCTGAGCAGTGGGAGCTGCAGACCAGTCTTCCATGGCAGGCTGAGCACTCCAGTCTTCAGTAGTAAACTTCTGAATAGGCACAGAGGGCACCTTCACATCTTCACACCAGTCTGCAACCTCAGGCTGAGTAGCAGTGAACTCAGGAGCTGGAGCAGTCCATTCACCCTGAAATTCCTCCTTGGTCACTGCCTTTTCAGCAGCAGCCTGCTCTTCTTTTTCTATCTCTTCAGGATCTCTGTAGAAGTAGAGATCAGGCATGACCTCCCACGGGCGTTCACGGGAATTGGTGCCACACATGCGCAGAACTTCCCGAGCCAGCATCCACCACATCAAACCCACTGAGTGAGCTCCCCTGCTGTTGCATGGGACGGCAATGTCCACATAGCGCAGAGGAGAATCTGTGTGACACAGAGCAATGGTAGGTAGGTTAACACAAGATGCCTCCATGAGAGGCTGGTGGTCAGCCCTGGGGTCAGTAACCATAAGAAGCTGTGGCTCCCTGAAGGCTGCCTGGATCTGGTTAGTGAAGGTTCCAGGAGTGAAGCGGCCAGCAACTGGAGTGGCTCCAGTGGCAGCAGCAAACTTCAGTACAGCCCTCTGGTCAGTATTCCTGGAGGACATAACACTGACGTCAGCAGGGTTTTCAACGGCAACAATGGCACGAACCACCAGCAGAAGCTTCTCCCAGGTCCTCTTCAGATTTATGATGTACATGCCATCACTTTTCCTTTTATAGATGTACTGTTCCATCTGGAAGTCAAGACTGGTGCCACCTAAGTGGGTTTCTGCTGCAAGGAACTTAAGGACATCCTCCTCCTTCATTTGCAGGACATCAAGGCTCCGGACATTGTAAAAGTTTCCCTTTAAGTTACGACGGGAATCCAGAACAACGCCGTATGGATCCCTCTGTAGGTAGCGCGGAAAAGATACAGAAGTTCTTCAAGAGGGTCACTCTGCCAATAAGAGGGATGCTGAAAACTTTCAAAGCATTTTTGCCTGGGGGAGCTTTATTGGCATTGGTGGGCAGAGCCAGGTGTGAAATGCATGGGATCATGTCAACCAACAGAGGACTGTGCCATACCCCGTGTCCTGTCAAATGCCATGTGGTCAAATACACACAGGCAGTTAAGAGCCCTGAACTTAGTTACACCAAAGCTTTCAGGTTTTCCAAGTCCCAGGCCTATGGAAGAATTAAATTCCCCTGTTCCCTTGAAATTAGAGGTGCTTTAGGCCAGCGCACAAGTGACACAGCCTTCTCTCCTTTCCCATCGCCATGGCAACCTGCAATGCTCCCAGGTATGACTGGTCCATAAGTCTGGGCATCTGCATTCGAGGCTGACACAGTAATTCTGAGTATAGATGCAGGCATTGTATATCTTGCTGTGTTCATGTTTACTTTATTATAATATAAATAACTTTCCTTTGGTTTCCTTAAGTAGTGTCTTGAATTCTTGCAATTATGTCTCTAGATAGGTTATGTGATCCATGATTTCATTCAGGATAGTAAAGGGAGTGTTACAAAATATTTATTGTCAAAAAGAGGGCATTAGGTCCAGTGAGACTGAGAATCACTGCATTACGGGTCAAAGAACATGTACATTTTTATGGCTGCTGCTATATAAAATAAGTGTGAGAATCAAACCCTGCCAGGATCTGGAAAAGTGGGGAAAATAAACTGACTTTAACTAGAATTAAAATTAAAGTGATATAGCAATCCAGTTCCATTTCACTAACGCAATACCAGGATTAAGATTTAACTTTGTTTTTGCTAATCTATAAAATTTATGATGGCTGTAACTCTATCTTACTCTTGCTGCAGAAGCAACGTCATTCCAAGTATGAACAAATTGCTTTCTCTGACTGCCACCCCCACAGCTTTCCCTATTGCTCTATTTTTCTCCATAGCATTTATGGCTACCTGGTGCTGCAGACCACAACTTGTTTACTGCCTTGCTGTCTTCCTACAACCTGGAAAGCTAGTGCCAGCGGGTCACAGTGTGTCCATCCTTGTGTCATCAGACAACGTATTGTACAGAGCCCAGAGGTGAGGACTCACCATTGAAAGAGTGAATGACTAAGTACATTCCCTTCCTGTTCTCCCTATCTCATCCAATACGTCCAATTCCTTGATAATCTCCTTTAACTTCTGCCACGATTTCCACTTTTTCCATTTAAGCAACTAAAATTGGGTAGAACTCACTCACTCTAACCAGAATTAAAATTTGAATGATACAATCATCAAGTTCAGGTGCTAAACTTAAGAAAGACAAGGGAGATAAATTTGGTTCTGGCAAACATCACAAAAGCAGATTACTCACTTTGGATCTCTGCTCCTTTTCTAGGTCATGAGATAAGGAAACATGATTTTTAAAATGAGTTTATTTTCTGCTGTTGATGCCCCCTTGGTGAAAGATTAAGTGATTGAAGCTATCAGCTACCATGGGATTTGGGCATTACAGTCTCTAGGTCCAGAACTTTATTTTATAACTTACCAAGCAGAGGCAAAGAGAGATCAGTCACCACCTAGACTGAGTATGCTTGTTTCACCTCATAGAGGTGTTCCTGAATATATTATAATATACCATATAGGATGTGTGTGTGTGTGTGTGTGTATGTGTGTATAATTTTTAACTCTATTTAAAAATAATTGTACGCTCACACAAGTTGCAAAGTTAAAAGCACACAGAATGATTCTCTCCAGCCATCACCCAGATTCCCCTAAAAAGTGATCTCTTGGCCAGGCGCAGTGGCACACGCCTGTAATCCCAGCACTTTAGGAGGCCAAGGTGGGTGGATCACCTGAGTTTAAGAACCTGGCCAACATAGTGAAACCCCATCTCTACTAAAAACATTAAAAAATTAGCCAGGCATGGTGGTGCGTGCTTAGAGTCCCAGTTACTCAGGAAGCAGGAGAATCACTTGAACCCAGGAGATGGAGGTTGCAGTAAGCTGAGATCACATCTCTGCACTCCAGCCTGGGCGACAGAGTGAGACTCTGTCTCCAAAAACAAAATAAAAAAGTGATCTCTTACATAACAATGGTGACTATCAAAACTAAGAAATTCAAAACCAATTTTATTCACTACATGTTTTAGTTCTAGATATTTCATTCCTTAGAATGGACCTAGTAGTAGATTGTTTAATAAAGTGAAACATTTTCGGCAACACAAGTGATTACATTCTCCTCTAAGTCTGGTGGTCTGGTGTTTTACTTATTCGAGGTTTCCTTAAGACAACTTGTGATAGGTGATTGTGGGTGGTGTTTTTGTGGCTCTTCATACAGTTCTCTGGTTCTGCATATTCTGTTGGTTCTGCACTCTTTATTTTCATATACACCTGCTCAGGAGCCCCTTTCTTAGTAGAACTCTAGGGTGAGTGAGCAGTCAAAACATCCACATCTTTTCTTTTAAAAAAGATCCCATCTGCAGGAGGAATCAAGCAAATCTACAGCCAACATTTGGAAACTATGAGTCTTAGCAATTGTGCAGAATGATGACATCATCAACATACATTTGCAATAAATATCATATGCATCATGCAACATGATTATGTAACACCAATAAAAGTTATTTTTAAGGTCAAATCACTTTTCAAGGCATCTATGAAGCAACCAGCATTTCCACACACTAAGCATTTCACTGATTTATGCTAGGTACAGTGAAACTTGGATTAAAGAGCCTAACAAGTAGAGTTTGCTGCCAAGGCAGCAAGACTTAGAGCCAATTATAATAGAAAAATGTGATTTCTAAGGAGAGCCCACCAGATAACCATTATGAATCCAGGCAGTGGGGCCGCACTTGGATTTGTACCATAGAGTGGTAAATTCACTCAACGTGGCAGTACTTATGGCACTGGGCCCCAAATCATGCTCCAAGAAACCCTAGGTAGACTGGCTACATAATTTGGGGCCCAACACAAAATTAAAATGCCAGCCCCCTTGTTCAAATATTACTTAGAATTTTATGATGATGAGAACAGAGCATTAAACCAAGCATGGTCCCTTCTGAGTGCAGGGTCCTGTACCACTGCTCACCTCTCACCCCATGAAGCTGGCCCTGGCCCTAGGATTCCAATAGGATTGCTAGATAAAAGACAGGACACCCAATTTATATTTGGACACCCAAATATTGCATGGGACATACTTATACTGAAATAATATTCATGTTTACCTCAAATACAAATGCAGCTAGGCATCCTATATTTCTTTCTCATACATCTGGCAAGCCTAGGTTCCTGAAGGGCATTTCACGGGTGACCTAGGGGTATAAGAATGAAGAAAAGACCAAGTGGATGGTCTTGATTTTTCACCATCATGCATGTTAACTCTTTACCTCTTTTACATGCTGGACATCCCATCAAGGCAAGATTTCTTTGGGGAGAATCTTTAAAAATTTCCTGGCTAGAAGAAATAAGAGGCAGAGACGGAGGGGATGACAGAAGAAGAAGGGAGGGAAGAGCAGGGGAGGGAAATAGAGTAGAGGGGGAGAAGAGAGAGACGAGAGAAGGAACGGGGAGAGAAGAGAGGGAAGGGGAAAGGGAAGGGGAAGGACTACTTTAGCATAGAAACCAACATGTAAGCAGCTCTGAGTAATTACTGGGCCTTAAACATGGATTTGACTTGAACCTGGGAGGCGGAGGTTGCAGTGAGCTGAGATTGTGCCACTGTACTCCAGCATGGGCACAGAGCAAGACTCCATCTCAAGAAAAAAAAAAACAAAAACAAAAAACAAAACACCAAACCAAAACAAAACAAAAAAAACATGGATTTGAACTTCAAACCAGGAAGGATGGATGGATCTGAGGCAGTGATTTAGGCCCAGCAAAAAAACATGCACAATTCAATCGAACTTAAAAGTGGTTAGTTTTGTTGTGGTTTTCAGTTCAATCTGGACCAAGTTTAACTTATCTCCTTAGTGTCTCTTTCCAGTTAGCTATAAAGTGGTTTCCCCTTTCTGGTTTGCCTCCTTCCTTCCAGCCACATTCATGGAGCACTTACTATGTACAAGGCACCTACTGTTTATATTGAGTATAGGGAACACTAAAAGGATGAATAAGATACAGCCGTCGCCCGGGGTCTTCCAGTGCAGACGGAGAGATCAGCCTGTGCACACACGACTATACTCAGAGGGATCTGTAAAGAACACGACAGGTACAGAGGCACAGCAAGTTCAAAGTGGATCCCTTTACTATGAGGACTGGGGAACGCTTTATGGAACAGGAGAGCTCTTGACCTGAGCCTTAAAGAACGAATGAGCTTCATTCTCGTGTTCATTCATTTATACAACACCTAATAGTAGCAACTACTCATTTTCTTTGAGCATCTATCTACTAAGGCTAAGCTCTGCTCCAAACTTAAGCTCTGTTCCAAACTCTTTAGATGGAACACCTAATTTAATCCTCACGACAACTTTGGGTAGTTCATAGAATCACTCACTCCATTGTCCACATAAGACAACTGAGGCCTAGAGAGGTTCAGCCAGTTGCCAGGGTCACATAGCCAGGAAGTAGTGGGGCTGAGGACTTCAACACAGAGTCCATGCTTTCAGATGGAGTTTCATTCACTCTGTCATCCAGGCTAGAGTGCAGTGGTGCGATCTCGGTTCACTGCAACCTCCGCCTCCCGGGTTCAGGCGATTCTCCCGCCTCAGCTTCCCGAGTAGCTGGGACTACAGGCACCCACCATCACACCTAATTTTTGTATTTTAGTAGAGATGGGGTTTCACCATGTTGGCCAGGCTGGTCTCGAATTCCTGACCTCAAGTGATCCACCCCCCCCTCAGCCTCCCAAAGTGCTGGGATTACAGGCGTAAGCCACTACACAAGCCCAGAGTCCATGCTTTCAATAATTCCACACCTAAGCAGCACCTACTGTATGCCAGGCTCTGTTTAGTCACTGGGGATTCAAAGAGAATGCAGGAACCTGTGGTGTGCTGGGGGAGGGGCAAGAGCAGACAGACTGTCAGGATCACGTGATGAGATGACAGGTGAACTCAAAGCTAGTGGGCACAGAGAGGGACTGCACACTCACGCTTGACATACATTCTGAATCTGAGAAGGAATGGTAGCAGCAACAAAGGCTTTCAGGGCTGCGGGCAGAGCGCCTTTAGAGACACCGCAGCATGGAGAAGCCTGGATGGCCAGGGTGTGTGACAGGAAGGGGCAGGGCAGGGCTAGACACCAGGCCTTGGCTGCTGTCTGAAGAGCTGTCTTTATCCAGGCGCTTTGGGGAACTGAGTGACAGTGTCAGTATCCGGAGCCCGGTGTGGAGACCCAGGAGGCTGCCAGATGAGCCACCTCTGCGATTTCCTGTTAGAATTTCTGAGCCAAAGCAGAGTCCACAGGCCCAACATGGTGGTTGTGGTGTGCCCCTAAGTTAGGAAGTTTGGGGTGGTTTGCTGTGCCACAGTAGACAGGAACGGGGAGCTCTTCCAGTCCCTTTCTCCCTTCTTGGTGTCTCTTCTTCCCTTCGCTTCCCATCCCACACATCTGCGCCACATTACCTCAGTCCCCTGGACACATTTTGGCTCTCCTACTTGGAACTTGCCCAGGCTACTTCATGCCACAGTAGGGGCGTGAGTGGTGTCTGGCAACCAAACCATCACCAAATGCAGAACCCACAGCTTATTCTAATAGCCACAACACAGCCTTAATTGAGCCCCTACTGTGTGCCAAGTGCTCTACAGGAGTAACTGTAAGAGTCCTACAAGGTACAGGTGATGGTCCCGGTTTTACAGGTGAGGGCTGTAACTCTCAGAGGGGCTAAGCCCAGGATTTCACAGTCCCTCAATGTGGGTGAAACAGAGCCTGGGCTATCTGGCCATGAGGCCGCCCTGGCCTAAGCGTGCATTCTTCCTCCAGAGCTCCCTCCTTTGCAGCCTATTGTGTGCAAGGCTCTGTTGCTCACCCCATGCCATAGACGGGTTTTGTTAGACACACCCCTCACAACCCCCATGGCCATTTCGCATTAAAAACAAATTATGTGCTTACCTTCTGTTGAAAACTTAGAATTTCTACACCGCCTGAATCAATGTTCCCCCAACGCAATGATCAGTGGGAGCTGAGTTACAGCCCCTTTGGAAAGGGGCAAAGGCTCTCCGTGTGCACCAGTCCCCATGGTGCTCTGAGTCCCTCTGGGTCTGCTGCAGTTATTAAGGTACCTGCCTGGCCTTGAAGGTGATTGATCTGCTGATCCCTGTTGTGGGCCTAGTCCAAGGGTCCCATGCACATGGTACAAAGAGCCTGGGAGTGTACCCCTGCCCCGCACCCCCTGTGCTCTTCCCATCACCATCTGTAGCCGGCCCAGTGGAGTCCAACTCAGGAGCACACCATTCCTGCAGGCAGCCGCGGCCCTCACACCCCATACAGACTTCATTCTGGCCTGAACTTCTCACTAAAGAGGTAGAAAATGCCATTTTTCATACAGCTGGGCCACGGGCACTGCCCTGGCCAATGGGACCTATGAGGAATTCAGCTGAAGGTTTCTGGGGAAGGTTTTCCCTCGTGCTGTCTTCCCCAGAATTGTGGCAGCTGTTTTAAGACACTGATGAGATGACCCAGAAATCACTCCAGTGTCAGTGGAACTGGACGCTGGACAGAAGCAAGGGACTCAAGGGCAGACAGTCCCCAGCTGTGGGGTCACCAAGAAGCATGGTTGGTGTTCTTATGGTTTCAGCCACTTTAGATAGGTATTTATTACACGCAGACAAACGTGTCCTGACTGCTAACCCGAACTCCAGGAAGCAGATGTGCCCACCTTCCCTAGTGCAGGGGCGGCTGCTGTTCCCAAGTGTTTTCCCATCCCATTCTCACCTCCCCTGGCCTCCCTCTAACCCCCACTCATCCCCCTATCGCCCTCATTTCCAGCAAGCTTCCTCATAGTGCATGCGTGTGTCAGCCCCCTCCCGAAACCCAAGCCCCTGATGACAACAACAAACCATCCAGTGTCGTTGGAATACATGTTACTTGTGGAATTTTTTTCAATTGAAAAGAGAAAGTAACTTGTCTTAAATCTGTGACAAAATGAAGAATGAAATGGCAATGGGCAGAATGTTAAAAAAGAAATCCTACTTGGTTTGTTACAACTTGAGTACCATGCAAACCCTTTCTGAAAGAAAAACAATTCTCCTTAACCCCCAATGTTGATTTAAGTTGTTTCAAATTATAACGTTACTCAAACATGTTCAAACATAAAACTAGATATAAACACCTTATGTTTATAGCTCTTGTTCAACTCTAAACTATGAAATTAAATACAAGCAAAACTACAAAACCAATAAGATTCAAATCAACAGCCCTAATCACATGTGACAGACAGTGTTTTGCAGCATGAACTTGTTTTTTTCAAGCCTGTGCCAGTTCCTTTGGGGGAGTTATGTCCACACCCCTGAGGACTGGGCAGAGAGATCCCTCTGCCATACTTCTCTGTGAGCTGTAAAACTCTCTGCTATGGTTTGAATGTGTCTCTTCTAAAATTTAGGTATTGCCAATGTAATAGTACTAAAAGGTGGAGATATTTGGGGGTGATTAGGCCATGAGGGCTCCTCCCTTGTGGATGGGATTAGGTGCCTTTAAAAAAGGGCTTGATGGAGTGAGTTCACCCCTTTCTCCCCTTCTGCCTTCCGCCATGTGAGGACACAATATTCAAGGCGCCATATTGGAAGCAGAGAGTAGCTCTCACCAGACGCCAGCATCTTGATCTTGGACTCCCCAGCCTCCAGAACTGTGAGAAATAAATGTCTGTTCTTTATCAATTACTCAGCGGTATTCTGTTACAGAAGAAGACATGGACTAAGATACCTCTTCAAGCAGCAAACACATCATACCAATCTTTGGCCTCCACTAAACACAGATGTTTTAATCATAGAAAACCTACATCTGTTCTTTCCTCATTGGTTCCTGGTGATCAACAAGGTGTTCTCTGGTGCTGACAGGCTTAGCAGTGCAAGACAAAGGCCAGACTCCCCACGGCAATCTCTGGTTATGTGGCTGTTATCCTGATGATCTGTGTGTACTGCTTGGACTGTATCTGTTTAGATGATCATCAAAATTAAGACACAAAATTAACACATTCTGTCAAGAACTCATAGTCCCCAATTTGAAAAACTACATTAAAATCCAATTCTGGGGAGCAGAGAAGAAAACATGAACAAAGGCCCCAGATCCAGAAGGCTCCCTTTCTCCAGAATCTCACACATGGAGTCCTGATGAGGAAAAATGTAAATATTTAGATGCTGCTACATCTGGTTTCGAAAAACTTAGTGCCAGCTTTGTGTATGGGTCAATGGATTTGGAAAGAGAAAAACAGATCTTGTCTGTTCTAACTACCTTGGTCCTCTTTTCTAAAAATCACTCCAAAGTTCTTCCACATCCCCAAAATAGAATGCTCACGTTTTGGGAATGCATTGTATCAATTCTGTTCCTCAAACTGATCTTCCAGCCCTCCTCTACACTTCATTTCCAATGCCGCCACCCTGGCCTGGGCACCACCATCCCCCTCCAGGCTGAGAACTTGGGCCCAGGCCCACGCTTGGCTGCCCCCGCCCACCCCCATCATCCCCCATGGCCTTGACAGCCTTCACTCGCCAGGCCTCTGCCTGCCTGTCTGGCCCCATTTCACACACCTCTACACCTCCCTTCTGCCATCATCAGAGGTAATTCTGGACGTACGTCCCTGTCTGCAGGTTTCAGGGAAGGTCCATTGAACTGTTTGCTCTGGTTCTGCTGGGTGAGGCCCTCAGCACTCTGCTTGCTCTCTCTCTCCAGGAGGCCCTCAGACGAGGAAGGCAGGCGCTCTTCCAGGGAAGCAGAGCTGTTACCCACAGCCCTGTCACTCCTGCACCAGCCACTCCTACAGCCCCTGCTGCTGCTGCCATTCAAGTCACAAGCCTTAAAATTGATGCTTCATGTCACGCAATTGGGTGGACCCAGCCCCCACCTCTGACGTTAGGGGTATCTGCACTTTCTCCACTGGCATCTCAACATCTTCACCTGCTGATCCGTGGGGCTCACCCTACAGCCAGAGGGCTAGGGCTTCGGTGAGAATGTTCTTTCAGGTCCACTATGTGGTTCCTTCCTGGAGCAGAAGGAGTCCAAGTTCTTCAGCCCAAGGTTCAGTCCACACCCACCGCCTTACACAGGCCGGTCTCAGGGTCTCATTCTAACACTTGATGTCCTGCTTGTCTGGGGGAATAATCTGGAATACTTCCCAGTCGTGGGAGTAAAGAGGGTTGTTAGTTGGAGGATGGGGTGGGCTTGCGTGTATCATGAGTTGGTCTGTTCTCTTGAAAAGCCCTTCCTTTCTTTGTCACTCTTCATTCCTTTTCTTCCCTCCCCGACATTTTATATCAAAGGGAAATAATATTTTTTAATGGTTTTAAATATACTTGATCTCTAAAAATTAAAAGCCCTATTAAATAGTCTTAAATAAAAAGCAAAAATCTCCTACCCAATCTTTTACCTTTAATAACTCACTCCAGAAATAACCATTTTTAAGTAGTTTTTGTTCTCCTAGAAGAGGAAGCTTCCCCGTGTGAAGGTCAAATACATTCTTGTGTCATGCTTTAGTTTGCTCGTAGTTGGAGCATGCTTTTCTTGAGTGGTTTTGTTTTTCCTGAAGTCTTAATGGACTCTTCTTTCTCTTGTTTCAAGAAGAAACATGCCTTTTCTATCACACCACTAGAATCTTCCTGCTTCTTTTTGTTGAACAGAAATTGTTTCCTTCTTAAAGTCAGTCTTTTGACCCCTCTGACTTCCTGTTCAAATTTGGACTAATTGTTTTCTGGGCTTGTCACGTCACTACCATCCAGGTATTTCTTCACACATACTCCACTTGGGTTAGCCCCACAAAGGATCCACGTCTTTTAAATTCTTCATTTCTTGAATGCTTTTCTGCAGTTCATCCACAAGTAACATTTTTCAGAAAATGCACAGCAAGTGAACTTATCGTGCATTTGAATATCTGCCTTTATCTTGCCTCATACTTGATCAATAATTTGGCTGTGAAATTTTACATTCAAAGCAACCTTCTTCAGAACTTTAAAGGTATTATTCCATTTTATTCTAGACCTGTAGGCCCTTGCCACTCAATGTGATCCAAAGGCCAGGAGCCATAATATCACCTAAGAGATTGCTGGAAATACAGAATCCCCCCACCCCAGAATCTGAAGTTGAACAAGATATCCAAGGATGTACGGGTACATTACAGTTGAGAAGCTGTTGCATCCTTCAGTGCTGCTTGAGAGGTCTGTGGTCAATCTGACTCTTAGGCCTTAGCAAATAATCCCATGTTTTTTCAGCTTGAGGGTTTTGAGGCCTTTCTTTGTCCTTGCTTGATGTCCTGAAATTCTCCAGGTTGTTTTCAGGCTCTAGTCTTTTCCAATGGGTCCTGCCAATCTCCAGACTTGTTTGCCTTTCTTCAGATCTCGAGAATTTTCTTCTATTTCTCTGATTTACCTGCCTTTCTATATTCTCCAATCCCTTTCTTGGAAATGTTATAGATTTTCGACTGATTATCCATCAAAAATGGATGGAATGGAAATTTCCCTTTAATCCTACTCCCCGTTTTTTGTCTTTCTGATCTTCATTCTGGGAAGTTTTCTCAAATTTGTTCTGTAGCCCTTATATTGGAGTTTTTTTTTTTTTTTGTAAACGTATATATTTAATTTTCCAATCACTTATGGATCTCTGAATGCTCGTATTTCATAGCAGGCTGTTCTTGCTCTATGGATGCAATGTGGCCACACATCCCTAGGGTTACTAATTAGTTTTTGTTTCTCTATTTTGCTTCCTCCAGTGCCTGTTGTTACGTTTGTTCATCTTGCTCCTTCTTTTTCATGCTGTTGATTTTTCTTTAAATTTTTTTATATAATGCTATGAGATCACTGCTCATTTTTTAGGTATGATGATGGTTATCATGATTTTATAAGAAAAGATCCTTATTTTTAGAAAATGAACATTGAAGCTCTTAGGGATGAAGTGTTTTGATGTCTGCAACTTACTCTCAAATGATTTCATGCACACACACACGCACACACAAACATATGCATAGAGGGTAAAAAAGAGAAATTTTAATATGGCAAAGTGTTAACATGTAATGAAACCAGGTGGACGGTGTGCCCAGACATTTATTGTACTAGTCTTTCAACTTCTGTCTTGAAATTTGTTTGAAATTTTTGATTGTAAAAGTTGAAAATAAAAACAAAACAAAAAAATTTGATGCTGCTTGATTGTTAATTCTCTGATTATCCTTAGGAAAATACCCTTGGGGGTCTGAAATTCCTAAGGAATCAGCTTTCTTAGAGTAAAACAGATATGTGCTTGGTCTCTTTTATTTTCTTCCTCAGTTCAAATTTGATAGAAACTACACTGGACTGACGCCCCACCGCTAGTACCCGGCACACATCAGCCGGCCTGC